AGAGAGAGAGAGAGAAATGAACAAAGGAAAAAGAAAACCACCAGCAACCAACCAACCACCAACCACCGGCCAATCATTCCCCCAAACCAAGCCATGCCTATAAGAAAAAGAAACAAAAGAAATAAAAATCCCACTTCGCAGTCTGCTCTCCTCTAAGACCGCCCCGTCTCAATAGCCGCCATCCTATAATGCGCACTATCCTTACTCCTCGACGAGGTACTGGCATTACTACCCTTCCGAAGCCGTCCGCTCGCGCTCGCACTCATCAAAAACATCTCGCTCCGGTCCAGCAGCAGCGCGTTGCTGTTATTATTAGGCTGATGTTTCTGGCCGTGGTGCGCAACCATCTCGTCGAACTTCTTGGTCGTGCCGATAACGCGCCCGCCAATGACTTCGACCGCGTCGCGGGACTTCCTGGCGATGGCTTCAAGGCGGGGGATCTCGAACTCGGCCATGGCGCGCACGCGGCGGCTCGTCGCGTGCAATTCCTCGTCGAGGGAGGCGAGCAGCTCGCGATTGCTGTGGTCCAGGACGACGTTCTTGACCTGCGACGAGGACTCGAGAACGGCCTTGTCGACGCGGGCGATGGCAGCGCTGTTGACGCGCACGGCGGCGTCGATCGTCTTCATGTTGTCCGTGATGCTGTCGAGTTCGGTCTGGAAAGAGATGGTCATCTGGTCGATGGTGCCGGACAAGGCGTTCGTGCGCGCCTCGCCTGAAGCCTCGAGACGAGCGAAGCGTTCCTGTGTCTTGCCGTCGAGAGACCTGATCTCGTCCCCGAGACCCGCAATCGCACTATTCTGACTGCTTGACATTTGCTCCGCGTGTAGCTTGAGCCCTCCCAAGCTGTGCTTCAGATCGAAATTCGTCTTCTTCACTTCCGCTGTGATGCCCTGATGCAAGGCTTCAACGGCGTCACTCGTCGTCTTTGCTCCGCCAAGAATGGACTCTGATAATGTCGCGAAATGACAAGCTTGTGCCTTTCTTGACTCGGTCGACTCGATGGTAGCGCTTTCGAACCCCTTTTGGGTAGCGCCCAACAACGTGTCCGCGCTCTGCTGTGACCTCTGGGCGAAGGATTCCAAAGATCGGTGGGACTTTTCCATCTCGGCCTGGAGATCTTTGTGCGTAGCTTCCATGGCCGAAGTCGTGCTTTCCATCTCCTGCTTGAGAGATGCGGAAACCGTGGTCAGGTTGGCGCTGAGTGTTTCCTTCGCCTCGCTCCTCTGTGTACTGGCTTCCGCGAATCCTCTGCTAATGTCGCCAGAGAGTTTATCAGTCCGCTGCTCCAGTGATTTACCGATGGTATCCAGAAATGCACTCACGCTGGTGACATCGGAAACAACTCGGTCCTGTGTCGATCCCAGGGCGATTCGGGTGGTTTCGGCCTCCTGTGTGATAAGTCCCGAAAGCGTAACCATACTGGCCTCGCAAGACTTTTCGGCCGCGGTTCTGTGTACGATGGCGTCTGAGAATCCCATGTTGATGCTGTCCGACAAAGTGCTGGTGCGATCCTCTAGGGTTTGGTGGATGGTCTCCGTGGATTTCTGGATGTCACTTACTCCGGAAAGAATTTCTTGCTGTCTGGACTCCAGGGCCGCACGAGCCGTGGTCTCTTGCTGGGCCAGGTCTGTCTGGCCTGCCAATATGCCTTGACTTTCCCGGACAACAATCTCGGAGAGAGATTTATACTTAGAATCTGTAGATGCGCCAACAACCCTGACTTCAGAAAGAAGGTCGTGCTGGCCAGATTGAATATCCGCGATGGCCGTCGTTTGCTGCTGGACCAAGTTTCTTACGCTGACCAAATGGTCACCCGCAATCTCTCCGGCATCCTTCCTCTCAATCGCAGCAGCCTTGAACTCTCTGTCCAGATCTTCAGAAATCTTTCCCAGAGATGCGCGAAGAGTCTCCAGCCATTGATTCGTGTTGTCCGTCCTAGAAGAAAAAGCTTCCCTGACTGTCTCGATCAAGTCGTTCACCTTGCCAGTCTCGCGTACCACGATATCCGAGGAGGACTTGCTTCCTGTTTCGATTGCTGCGAGGGTGGCCTCATGCAATTTCATCGCATTTCCAGATGCCTCCTGGGAGATGGAATCGAGCTTCTGAGATGTGCTGCTGAGATTCTGCTGGTTCGACTCTAGGAGCTTGCTTTCCAAGTAACTTTTCGTCTGCTGTATCTCCGCTACCGCAGCCCCAGATGTACCTCGAGCTTCACTGACAATGATCTCGGACAGATCGGAGCACAGAATCTTCCTCAAATTTCCGACTTCCCGGATGATCGATGCCTGAGCAGCCTCCAAATTCGACGTCACAGACATTTCAGACTTCTCGGCGTGGCTAACCACTGCCTCACGTGTTGTCATAACCTCACACTTGATTACCCGGGTTTCGTCTTGTGACTTTGCAGTCTCCACTGCCAATCTCTCCAGATCAGCATGGATGTCTTGAACGCGAGTGGTGACATGTGACTTGAGGTCTTCAAAGCTGGACAGCATCATCGTCGTTGAGCCGTCACGAAGGGATGATTCTTTCAGACTTGAGACATCCAGGATGATTGTTTCCAAAGCCTTGTTAGTCCCGCTGGATGTCTTTTCCAATCTGGTGTCAATTTCTTGACCCATATCTAATCGGTAATGTCAGTGTTTGGTCCCCGCTGAATGTGCCAGGAAGTAAAGGAGATGACAACCAATGAAATTATCGCCCCCCGAGTCTCGCGGTGAAATTTACTGACCTGTAATTTGAGACTTGACGACATCCAACCCTGCCACCACTGTGGACGTCAAATCGGTATTGTTGCGTTTAGCCGATTCGGCGAGGCCTGAGATGTCCAGCTTCATAGATTCAAAACACTTGCTGGTGTCACTAGAAGCCTTCTCAAAGACCTTCTCAATATCACCGCGTAATCTTGCCACTTGCTCCTCACCGGAGTTGCGTAACTCTTGAACGCCTGTGAACCCAGCGTCTACTGCTGCCATTGTCCTTGATCCAGATGTATCAATTGCTGTCTGCAAGTCGCTGGATAACGAATCGAGCTGCGTGCGTGTGGTGAGGGCTGACTCTTGAATGGCTGCAAGGCTTGCGGCGTTGACCTTCGCAGTCTGATCCAGATCCCTGGTAATTTGTCGCAGCTCCGAAATGTCTCTGTTACCGGCTTCCACGGCCACTAGAGTCTTCGATCCAGATGTGTCAATCGCGTTCTGCAAATTGTCTGATACGTTATCGAGTTGACTACGTGTAGTAAGGACCGATTCCTGAATGGTTTTCAGGATTGCTGCATTGGCTTTGGCATTTTGGTCTAGGTCCCCGCTGACTTGTCGTAGCTCTGAAATACTGGTGTTCCTCGCTTCTACTGCCGTCAATGTCTCTGACCCAGAGGAGTTGATACTGGCCTTCAATTCGCTCGATACGGCATCGAGCTGTGATTGTGTGGCAAGAATAGAGTCGTTGATACTCGTCAAGCTTTTTGTGTTGGACTTCAAGTCGTCGGATACTGCATCGAGTCGAGTACTTGTAGAGAGCACCGATTTCTCAACTGTCATTAGCTTTGCCGTGTTGGACTCTGACGTCTGGTCGAGCTTCTCAACCGCAGCAAGGAGGAGAGCAATATCCTCGGTAACCTCAGAGACCGGTCCGACGGCCTTTTGGATGCTAGCCAAGTCTGATGCAAGCGAATTCGCATTAGTCTTGGCAGCCTCCTCAATATGCAGCAGCACTGCACCGTTTTGCTGTAGCTCGCGACTGTGGACATTCCCAAAGTCCCGGACGTCGGTCACGAGAGTATCGATCGCAGTAGAAACGCTTGACTTGATACCATCCGCGATCAAAACTCTATCGCTATGTGCAGCCTGAAGAGATGATGAGATTTCATCTTTGAGGGCTTCTACAGCAGTCGTTGTCGGGGATAGGTCGATTGACTTGAAATCCGCTCTCAGGACATTGGTTGATATGGAGATCTTCGAGCCCAGCTCTGCCTTAAGTTCGGCAAAAACGTCGCTGTTTGACGAGTTTATGCTTGCAGCGGCATCCAGGAGATTTTTGGCCAACGCCGTTTGAACTTCTCGAATAGCCAACTGAATTTTTTCTTCACCGGACCTGACCTCCTTGTCAAGAGCGAGGACTGCCTCGTGTGAATTTGCCATGGAAATTCCGTTCTGCAGGACCAACTCCTCGATTTTGCTCCATGTAGTACTATCCTTGATCTGTTCAATGCCAGCCTGGAGCGACTGAAGCACAAGTTCCGTATTACTGTCAGTTTCCTTCGACCGTATGGCCCCGTTTTCCAGCATAGACTTGAGAACCGCCAGCTCCCTGGTCGTACTTGACGACTCAAAGTTCCCAGATCGAAGGATTTCGGATATCTCAGAGCTCTTTTCGCCAATCTCAGTGATCGATTTGTGCCATGTCTCTCCACGCTCACGTGATGAATGTAGCAACTCCTTGACCGAGGCAACTTCCGCCGCTTGCTTGGAAATGCACGTCTGAGTCCAAGATTCGATCTGCAGGAGAATCTCATCTTCTTTGCTTGCCTCCTGTACCTCTTGGAGCATCCGTATCGTCGCCTTGGCGTCATTCGCGTGTGCCGCCTGGCTTGCCTTGATCAATTCCCTGGTGGAACGAAACTGCTCACTGCGATCGGCATTTTCGGTTTTCAGGAATGCTTTCGTCGACCGGACTTCCTCGAGAACTTCGACAGTCGAGGCATCGATCTTCTCGGCGCGAAGCTTGGCATCCTCTGCAATCGACTTGAGTTTAGCTTGCAGATTCAGATCCATTGCCCCGAGTTGCGAATTAATCTGCTCCACCGTACATTTGGAGCTCGATTCCAGTGACGAGGCAAGTTTTCGCTCAATACTCGCTTTAACTTCCGACAGACTGGACGTCAGCTGATCCAAGGAAGAGGTGTCGTACACTTTTTGCTGAATGGTATCGAGTGACTCTGTGTGGGAAGCGAAGGCGGAATCGACGTTTGATCGTAGTTCTGAAAGTGTTGAGGCCAAGTCATCGAGGAGTCCTCTGTGAGGCTTCACATCTCTCACCACCCCCGCCATGTTCGTTTGTAGGTTGTCCAGCTTGGCCGTGTGAGCGGATAGAGGCTTTAGGCCATCTTCGACTCTGCTGATGGTAGACTCCAAATCTTCCAGCTTGCTGATCGTATTCGCATTCGACCCCGTCAGAGCCGTTTCCACTCTTGTGAACATTGACGAAGTCTCACTGAGTCTCTTCGCATGGGTCACAGCGAGGTTGTCGAGAGAGCGGACATGCATCCGGACCGCCTCGACATCCTCCTTGATGGATTCCGCGTTCTGTTCCTGGAACTCGGAGACCACGTGGCACGTCTCATTCGTCGATTCGACCGTGATCTGCATCTTTCCCACCGCGGCCGCGATCGTGTCCAGCTTGGACGTATTGGCAGACAAGAACTTGGAGCTGATGGATGCCAGATTTTTCGCGGCTTCGGCTTCCTTCCTGAAGTCCGAGACGCCTCTCTCTATCGCCTCCAACCTCGCAGTCTGGGTCGAGATGGCCGACGTGTCTAGGGCCGAGACCTTATCGTGGATGGCTGTGATGCTTCGTCGGAATGCCTTCTCGGAAAATTCAGCTCTTGAATTCGCCTTGGTGACCGCGGCGAGGACGTCGTCCTCTTCCAACTTGGCGCGCATCGTCTCCACTACCTCGTGGTTGTTCCTCACCAGCCTGCCCACGTCCTCGCAGGCAGCCACGACCTTCCGTTGCAGAGCATCGACTTTCTTGCCCAGCTCTCGCTCCACGCCCCAGACTCGGTCGCCCAGAGTCGTATTCCGGTCCTGGAGCTCATTGGAGATCTCGCCAAACCTGATGGCCGTCCGCAAGTCGGCATTGACCGCGGCCTCGTTGATCTCCCCAAGCCTCCGGTCGAGGTCATCCATACGGCTGCCCAGGCTCTCGAAGCGACTTTCCATCGTCGTCAGCAGCTGGGACTGCGTGGACGCAATCTCGTTCAATTCCTTGCCGTGATCCGGGATGACAAGGTCGTTCACTTGGGCTTCCAGCCTCTTCTGACCTCCTCCCAGCGCCTCCAGATCCTGGGCATAATCCGGTATCACCAGACTGGTCAGGTGATCCTGGATGGGATGCAGCAGCGTCGGGACATCCTCGATATGGGCCTGCAGTGCGGATTCTAGATTGAGGTTGGCGGTTCTGATCTGGCCGAGCTTCTCCTGGGTTTTGGCAAAGGCCGGGTCAATGTGCGACGCGACGGCGATCTTGAAGGCATCGCTCTCAAAGGCGGCCAGCACGGCACGCTCGACCAGCTTGGAGATGTCGCGATCGTCGGCCCAGGGAAAGGCGCCGGCTGCCGTCGCGGGTCTCTTTGCAGCGGGGATGCCGGAATGGGAGGATTGACGCTTCTCTTTGAACCAGCCGATGGGAGATCCTCTCAAGGACATGTTGGGGGGGGAGGATGGATGATGTCGAGAGGGGAAGGGTGGGTAGAGAGAGGATGAGGCTGAGGATGAGGCTGAGGATGAGGATGAGGATGAGATTGAGGAAAAGGATAAGGATGCGGATGCGGATGCGGATGAGGATAGATCATGATATGAAATCCCAAGGTCGAGTCTCGAGGAGTGAATCTAGGTACCGGTAGTATCCAGACGGTGGAGGAGGGAGGTGAGTTGGCGCATGTCGTCAGGGTCCGCGACATCTTTTTTTTTCCGTTTTCCCCGGCGAGTGGAGCCAACCCATCCCAGCGGGCCAAGTGCCAAGTGCCAAGTGCCAGCGCCACCAGCACCACCAGCACCAGCCCGCCCCTCCGCCCCTCCGCCCCTGTTGTTCGGCTCATTTGTTCATGCAATGCAAATGCAATGCAATATGATAGGTAATCGGAGTATATACTACGGTATACTGTATATTATGTGGTATGTATACGGAGTATATACGATATAATACGACCCGTGATCCCGTGATCCCGTAATCTGGAGACGCTTCTTCGCCTCGCGCGACACGTGTCAAGCAGGTCGATCGTGCAACACCAACACCCGAGTGAAGTGGCCGTCTGTCAGCGGGAGACGACGACGCCAGCATTCTGCTGCCTGCCAGCATCAATTTAGTCATCGGGTGGAAAGCCTGACTGGCCTATCAATAGATATCAAAATCACGGGATGCGGACTTCATGGGAGCTCGTTTCGACCGGTCCTACGTGGGGACGCAATACCGATATCGATGGTGGTTCCGTATATTATCCTGATATAATCTCGATAGAATTGGCAACAGCAGGTTTGACAGACGCAGGAATCAAGACTGCTGACATGCCATCTCGAATCCCTGACAAAGAACTGAACGAACGAAGCACTTCCGCCGAAGCCAGCCAACCTGCAAGTCGAAAAAGAGAAGAAGAAAAATCTAAGCCGAACCATGACAAGCATCCCCTTCTTTAGCCATGCTTGCAAACTTGAGATCCAGAGATCTATCAGAACATCCGAGGCGAAAGTTGGTCTAGAAGTGCCGGATCTCGACATCCCAGTGGCGAATCAACAAATCTCGCTAGGGCCCCCTATTTATGCGAGCAGTGGAGCTCGGCCTGCGCTTACAGCCATGGCGGCGTCGACGACATCAACCACCTGCGAACCAAAGCCTCTTGCGTTGCCGCCCGGAAAACTTACAGAAGCCATGTCGACTGAATGTAGCATTCGCTTCGGAACGTGTCAGGAATTGAAAAGGAACGTGGTAATTCATTATGGTGAGGGAAGGCAGTGAGTGCATTGAAGAAGTGCCGCATGATTCATGAATTACTGGGTAAAAGTATGCGGCGAGCATGAACAGCTATGCCGAGTATAGGATGGTTTTCAGTTTGCCATGTATGGCAAGTCTGAATTGGCGCAGACAGATATGAGCGTACTTGTCTGTCATATCTCATCTCTCCGAGGTGGCTTCTGTTGAAGAGATTCAATGCAGTTCTCGTGCTGCAGTCCTGACAGAATTCTGTAGACTTGAATTTACCTACACCTTACACTGAAACATGACGCTTATGTCTTTATGCCATTTTTCGTTTGCTTGCCAGGATATTGCAAAATGATTCGTATTCTTGCGTTCTGTGCTTCCATCAGTTGTTTTTCTTTCCTTTCCACCCTGCAACCCCCCCCCCCCGCCTTTCCTCTCCTCTCATGTTTTTTTTGAGTCGTATATTTTTCATGCAAATCTGCAAAACAGTCCTATCTCTGTTCCTGCCTAGCAATCGCTTGCATGTTTCAAATGTCTCTGTGTCCGCCGAAGTCATCAAATCATGAGACGTACAGCACACTCCCCAAGCTTCTAGGGGAATCTTGTGGTATAACAGTCTGCAAAGACTTGATGCTCTTTAAATCTCTACTCCAGCAAACGTAATCGTCCAAATTACAGAGAAATTATTCCGAGTCTTTTTCTGATTAGAAAGATCTACGTTGTGTGGAAGTCATATGTCGCCGGAGGGAACATCCGGAATTCTCTCTCGGCCGGTTGGAAGTTAGTGCTTTCTACCGTTGTTGTGCTCTAGTATTTCAGCACTGATTTAGCACCCCACTATTTATTTCTTGTACATATAAACTTTTCAATATAATTTAGAGTCGATATCTATGGTTAAGATTCGTCTCCGCCTGAACTATTGTTTATGGTTGTTGCTCAATCAAGAATCAACATGACTGAAAAAGGGCTTCAGAGCTCGAGGATGAACCAGAATCAAACGCTGTCCATTTTAAGAATTCGCTATCAGGAAAACTGGAAAGTCCCTCCTAGAGCCATATCGGCTGGTAAATGTTCGTTACCGTCTCATTTACTATGGGCCCGTATCTGGCTGACCTCGGTTCGGCCTCGACTCATGTCGTTCTACGACTCGCAGTCGCTGAGATTCTAAGCCTGCGATGGCATACTTTGACCTGCCTCTTCGGTTTTCTACCTTGCCAGAGTCTTCTCTTTCTGTGATCCATCTTATCCGCAAGGGAAGGGCGCAGTTGATGGCAGCCGTGCTGCTCCACCTTGAAATGCTTTCTAGGGCTGTCTTGTATGTAACTCCTTAGCTTAGCAGGTCACCGTACGAGATCCCAGGGAGGCAGGCGAACGCCCGACGCAAATCAATACTACTACTACTACTACTACTACTGTGGGCCCATTCAACGTCAAGGCTTGGAAGGTCAATCCGCGTCGATCTAGTACTATTCAATTCAAAAAACCTATTACTGCGTGATATGAAACAAGTGGGATTTCACTTGTCTAAAGTCTGGATTTGAGGCCTTTGATAGAACTTGAAGTATGACTCAGATCATCTCGAACTATCGTGAATACCACAGAAGGACTAGATTCTATTCGGCGAATCAAGTGTTGAGGCCGCTTAGAGCCAGCTTGCTTTCGTCTCTTGTATGAATGGGAGGTGAATTCACTTTTTATCCGTAGTTTCCTGTCGGTAGGAAGGCGCGCTACCGACTAGCGCCAGGTGTAGTTAGACCGAGCTTCACCCACTTCTTTCAATCAAAATATCAACTCTTCCACCGCCATCCATCTCTGCCTTGGAACGCGCCTCAAGCTGCAAGAAATTTCCACCATCCACCTGCTCGAGTGGAAAGAAACAAGATATCATCCTCACGATCGGTCTTTCAAATCCAACGCCTGCTCGCCAACACCGCACTTATCCTCCGTCGAAGCGCAAACTTCCCACCCTTAACTATCTTCTTTCCAAACATGTGCTCGGAAGTCGTCGTCGTCTACGCGTGTGGCTGCCAAGAGCTGAAGGAGCTTAAGATGTGCGAATGGGCCATCATGCCATCAATTCAAAACAAAGCTCAGTAAGTAAGCCCGGCCTCCGCCCCTTCGCCATCTTCTATTTCAACGCTTCGTTGTCTCCTCATCTTATACCTGTGAACCTTCTTGAAGAATGAATGTCTGCTGACTATCCCGTGTCTTTCAAGTCCTTTCCCTGGACTGTTCATGCCAACTGTAAACCACATAATGGAGCGCTTCTACTGCCGTGAATGCGCCGAGGAGAAGATCAAAAAGGCAAAGAAAGCAGCGCCCAAGTTTGCAATTCCACCACCCCAGCTCGAAGCAGGAACCGGCTCCCCAAAAACCGTTTTTCAAAAGCGGAAGAACTTCGCCGACGCATAAGGCTGCCGCTCCCCCTGCCGACAAACCTTCACCCGAATAGGAGAAGATGTACGATACTGGGATTTCTCGCCGTGTACCGTGCGTATGTGGTGACAATACCCTGCCAGTCAGATTTCGGAGACGATACAGCATGGACAGATGGAGAGTGGTAGTCACGGGTTTGGACACGACTCCAGGAAAACAGTTTTGAGACTTTCTTAAAGGGCTTGGGATTAAAGGCATCAACAACCGAATGTTTCCTGGGTGCTGTGTTCTTTGGAAGTGCCTCTGGGCTCGGGGCCTACTTCCACTGCTTCTCCTGAGTTGTAAGCTGGTAGGGCGCGTCTAATGAAATCACGATTGCATCCGAACTGGAAGATATCTGTGAATTTGATACTGTCCCTGCATAAGTGACTCTTTTTGTGTTCTGCCGTGCCAGGTAAATAGATACATGCCACACCCGGAGTTAACTTATAGCAGCAACCGCCGGACGTTCCAGCGCAGGCACTGTCCGCCTCCAGCCTTCCCTCTCCGGGCTGGCTGTACAATATTCTCCTCCTCCTCCCGGGATCGTAAAAGACATACTGATTATCCAACTTAATCCTTGATCGTACCCACGAAACATATTTCCAGAAGATAGGCCATACAACCAGCGAATCCTCTCACTCGATATCGGCCGAGACCCAGACATCGACGTGGATGCTTGGGATGGGAAACCAAATATCCTTGAGCTGAATTTGTGACTCGGGAGTAGAGTAGATACCACCCAGCTTTGATTTGTTACTTTCATATCTTTTCAAAAAGGCCTTCTGGCATGTAGAGTAGCAGGGGAGTTGGTTGCGGAAGAAATTTGTTTGATTCCTTGGATTAGATAATGTAAACAAGAAGGGGAGTAAACAGAAGCAGTAGTAGGAGCCGTAGTTCAGTCTTGGGACGAGAGAGATAGAGAGAGATAGAGAGAGATAGAGAGAGAGGGAGGGGGGGGGGGGGGGGGAGGATGGTCGGCTACTGCTTAAAAACTTTTGCTTGAGATATATAACTCAATGTGAACGCCATTATTGTCAACAGGTGGACGAACGCGATGGCTCAGTGGCTTAATAGCTTCATGGCTATCCGAACTCCACCGGTTGACACCACCCCCATAAAACCTATTCAATTAGGTTTGTAGATGGAAACCTTGTAACAACAATTCGTTGTAATGAGCTTTCCATTCGAGTTTTGCACTTTTTTCCAATTTTTCTTTTTCGGATTTTTGGGGGGGGTAATGTTTACATTGTCTTGCGGAGGGGAGAAGCTTTTATGCATAAGTAGATATCCACACCGATTCCCTCCTATCAGGAAGAGATGGATGGCAATATTTCTGAAATTCATGACGGGCTTCGCTATTACTGGAAAAAAAATGCATTATAGAGATACCGAGAGATGACCGCATGAAGACTTGCTGCTTGCAGCCGATCGATCGTTGCTTACTCAGCGGCGAAACAAGGAAGTGACATCCGAAAGCGAAATCCTGTAATACGGACACGAGACGGACAAAGAGCCTCGACTCGATTCCCAAAGCGGGCTTTACAGTACGAAACGAAAACGGGAAACGGATGAAAGATAGATAAAGCGACGAATTCGAGTGACTTGCTTCTTCTCACCTTGCGAAAGACTTGCATTTCAGAATCGACTAGTTGCAAGGGATATTTCTACAGAGTCACTACAGCATTTCATACCAACGGAGGCATCGATATTGTGAACGGAAGCTCAATTAGCTTCCCGTCATCTCATCTCCATTACCCTGTGGCCTCATCAACACCAAAAACACCATTCAAAATGGGTTTTGCATTCAACCCCCACGACCCAAATCCTGACCCGTTCAACCTGGAGCGGTTCGTCACGGCACAAAACAAAGACAACAGCTACAACGCCGCCCTGTCCGAGATCAGATCGGGACGCAAGGCCACGCACTGGATCTGGTACATCTTCCCGCAGCTTAAAGGCCTGTCGACCTCAATCCGGGGCCAGCGCTACGGCATCACCGGCTTGGCCGAAGCCCAGGCGTACTTGGAGCATCCGGTCTTGCGAGCCAGACTGGTAGAGATATCGAGAGCGGTCCTCCAGGCGAATCAGAAGCGTGCTTGGGCGCTGATGGGGAGCGGGATCGACGAGGAGAAGCTCTGGGCTTGTATGACGCTTTTCCAGCGGGCGGACGGCCCGGGGGAAGAGGTGTTCAAGTGGAGCGAGGTGTTGAAGAAGTATTTCAAGGGGGAGGGACATCAGACGACGGAGGAAATGCTATTCTCGGAGGGTGCAGATGAGGCTGAGGCAGGTGGCGGCGCATATTAGGGAACGTGTGATGGAAACGTGCCAGAGAGATGTTGAGCGAGGGGTCGATAATGAATTGACTTTGAACTATTGCCGTCCAGTGTCTGTGTCCTTATGCGATCTCTCATAATATGAGGGGAAACTACTCACCAGAGAAATGATTTTCGAGAGATATTGACCCTCGCACGGCTCCCTGGCAGCAGCAGACTTGAGCTCAGCGTTTGGAAAAACAAGTCCGTCTGGCCCACACTCGATCAATCCCCAACATATCCAGCCTAGCTTGACAGCCTTCGAAATGATATACCAAAAAGTTACGAAGATAGGACCAAGGGCTTTGACACGGTATGCTTCCACACTTACCCGGCGACGGGATTAGTCGAAAGGAACAGCCCCAGGGATACTAATATCAATGGAAATGCAGTTGCAAAGGACCGGAAGTTCGATTTTCTCGGAAAGGCACCGGCCACGAGAACATTATCAAGATCGGTGATCTGCGCAGTACTTCCGAGGAGAACAACAACTTAACCACGTCCCCTCGTACTTGAACCACCCCCACGGATCTCTTGCGAGACGGAGGTCTACGACACGATGCTCAAAGAGGGCACCGGTCCGGCGGCTCGGTCTATAGCTTCCACTTCGAGATTCTGTAAGGAAAGAGTGCTGGAATGAAGATGCTATCTGGTACGCAAAGCTAAATGAAGGGATTGCTCAAGGAAATCCTTTACCAGAAGGTAGAGAGGTACCAGACGACGATCAACATAACGAACAACGCGATGGAAAGAGCAGAAGAAGGGCGTGGCGGATACAGACTACACTTGATGGTAGCAAGCAAAACATCGATATGTACCATGTCGATTTATGTCAACAAGAGGGAGGGAGATAAGCGCAGAACACGAGAACGAGAAAAGATCCTGAAATGAACATGGGAAATCGCTCAGACCCGTGTGGCAACACAGTTTTGTACATTTTTTACAACCCAAACGCCATAGTTGAGATCTGCCTTTCTAGATCAGCGCCTGTCCCTTGAACATACCGTCCTTGACCTCAGCCACGACATCCCTCCTGTCATTCTTTCCAACAAGTACAATACCTCTGCCTCTCCTACCCATTCGCCCGGTCCTTCCGAGTCTATGGATGAAGTCTATAGTAGAGTGCGGTACATCATACAAGATAACGTGCCGAACAGCCAGAGTGTCAATACCCCGAGACCCCAAATCAGTCGTGACTACGACTTTGACATTATTTAACTTGCGCTTCACAGGTGGAGCCACTTGCCCAATGGGAACGAAGTTGGGCTGGTTCTCGGCGAAAGAACCTGGATGCTCTGCCTTAGGCGCGTTGAGAGGTTCTGCAGAGGTGAAGGAAGCAAGCATCTCGGATTGTCTATGGTCGGGGGTATCACGACTGAGCGCAATGGCATCGATACCCTTGGAGACAAGATAATCAGCAACTTCTTGAGTTTTCTCCCGCTCGTTGACGAACACGAGGATTCGTTTTACGTCAATCATGCCTTTGACCGGTCCATCGTGATCTGCGGCTGCCTTGCCGATAGACCAGATGGTGTCTGCTGCTGCAAGGTTTTTGTTTCCCTGGTAAGGAGTTCGCTCAACATCAACAACACCGAGCTGGACACGACGAGGAATAGCATGCAGATTGGGGGTGACGAGACGCTGGATGTCCGGGAATCGTTTTCGCAGGTAGCCGTCCAAACTCCGTGGGATAGTAGCAGAGCAGAGGATGAGTTGCTTGAGGGAGGGGGTCGCTCGGTCGATGATTGCCGATGTGAGAGGGGCAAAACCGCGGTCCATTAGGGAGTCGGCCTCGTCGACTATCAGATGCGTGACCCGGGAGAGGATGTTAGGATCTGAGTCGGCGATAGAGGAGAGAAGATGAGGAGTTGAAACCAGGATATCGATTCCCTTGGGCGAGAAGAGACGGTTGCGAATGACTGTTCCACTGAACGAGGACGAGATCATTGCCGAGCGAAATTTGACAGTATGCGACAACGACTTGACAAGATTCCCGACTTGAGTAACAAGCTCCGCCGTAGGTACCAAGATAATGGCCCGTGGCCTTCCAGTAGTCGGATGCGGCATATTGGACAGAGGTGGAGATACCAAGGTCAAGTCATTTTGCTTCAGACGTTCCTCGTCGAGAGCCTTCTGATGGGCCTCAATATCGGCATCCTCCTTCTCAGCAAGCTTGACAGCGTTGATCATCGGCAGAACGTATGCCAAAGTCTTCCCCGAGCCAGTCTCCGCAGCAACCAAGAATTCTTGTCGCTCTGTATCTGTCTTGCGCCTCCTTGCATTCTTCTCTCCAAGTAGCATTGGGATGGCAATCTTTTGTACTGGCGTAGGAGCCAAACCAACCATGCCCGGCAGAGCCTGCGTGGCTATCGAGTTTTTCACGGATTCAAGAAGAGAAAAGTTCTCGAACGAGTCTACATCCGCGATCCGTGATTTGATCCTCGTCCGCTGGTCGTATGAGACGGGTGCAAGAGACCTCTGCATCTTCAATGCCTTAAATCCGCGGTCCTTTCTGTCCTTCGAGCCTCGCCCAGCTGGCCCCTTCTCCACAGGGCCCTTCGTTTCCATGCTTCTTGCTGGGCCTCTTTCGGGAACCCCTCTGATGCCAGCCGTCTTCAAGTTCATGCCTCCAAATGGTCCATCTTGTGGTCGTCTCCCAGGCTTTGCGCCGCGCTTTGCTGGGCCTGTTGATCGCACAACTGTCGCCTTTGCCAGACCCATTCGATTTGGTCTCGCACTCCCTTTGGATTGGTATTTCGTGCTCAGAGACGCTGTTTGTTGGGGGGTCCATTGCTGGGAGGCATTTCGCGCCGCTCTGAATGAACAGAGCAGGCAGACGGGTGGTTTTGGTCGCAGCATGGCAAGATATTTATCGACGTTATCGCATCATGAGTGGAGGCCCAGTATCAAGCAGCTCCGGTATCTCCGTTTGGTATTGCTTTCTCTCATCGAGTATGATCGTTGTGAGTTGATTGCTAGGAAGCAATGAAATATTTGGACGGTGCGGGAAAACCCTATTCCGGCGAGCGCTCGAGATTTGGGCATTTGGGTTGAAGCTGCGCTGCATTAGGCAGACTCGCATTGAGATTAGAACGAGTCACTTGACGCAGATGGTCAATAAATGCCAGCAATCACTACGATTCATATGTGTATGCAATCTTGTTGTATGTAATGCTTCGAAGACCTTACAAGTTATTTGTGTATCAAATTCCAAGCCAGAACCACAATCACTTTTGGCCAGACCAGACAATATTTCTATAATATCTAGACGCCGAGGAACTCCGCCATACCCAGTCCAACGCCTGAAGAGCCACTTCTAGTGCCAGTGCTTTCCTTCCATCTCATCAGCTGGTCGCAAACAAGCTATCCTCATCTCTCAGGTATTCTCCACAGTCCGCCTGTCGGAAACAAGTGATACCGGTAGGGTCCAATCTTCTCGCTTCCTGTGTACTTCTCGCCGTCACTCCAAATCCCAACGGTGTGTCGTTCATCGAGTACACTATCACACCCTGATGCTCCGGGCAATCCTCCGACCATCTGCCAACATGTGCCTTGACGATGTGTCCCCCATACAAGAACGGCATCTCTCCGTTCGCCTTAACCCAGACTTTATACCGTGCGTGCTCCGAGAGAATGGGCAGGGCGGTGATGTGAAGTCTGAATTTGCCCGTCTTCGTGAACTTTCCCAGACAAGTTCCTAGCGACAGCAGCTTGTCTCTTGAAACCGAGACGGCAAGATTGGCTAGAGATAGACGCACATAGTAGCATCGCGACTTTTCAATCCATCAGTCAGTTTTCATCATTCCTGGAAGCTAGAGGGTCGAACCTGGTGCAGGCGGAAGACGAATCGATCGGCATTGGGGCCATTGTCCAGCGGCGCAATGAGGTTCTTGAGAGAGTTGCCGGTGTAGTTGGCTAATTTTGCGAACAGGGTCTGCGTCTCGGTCTCTGTGAGAGGGCGCATCGTGAAGTCGTCGGTGGGGAGGGATGATGTTGCAGCTCAAAATCGTTGTAAGATGCTTTGACCTTTGGCTACATTTTTTTTGTGGACCTGGAGAGATATTTTTCCGGCTCCGGATGAGCTTTTTCCGTATCTTCAAAATTTGGAGCCACAGTGCTTGAATTCTAATTTTCTCTCCACCCACGGAGTCTCACATACGACGAAATATGGCTCGAGTTCCAGCAATAAAAAGGCGCAAGCTTACTCCTCCTCCCACTGATGGCGAGGATTCATCCCCATCCACCCTCGACAATGTGCCCCAGACCAGCGACTTCTTCAAGCAGGCGTCGAGCTGGAATCTAGAGCAGGACTACGAGGCGAGACCGCGGATCGGCAAGAAGAAGGACAAGGAGAGCACACGGCTGCCAATCAAAACATCAGATGGTTTGATCCAGGAGCTCGAGGTTCCAGAGGAAACCAAGGATGCCGACAGCGAAAAGGAATGGCTGGGCGCGGAGGAGTCTGAGGAAGATGAGCCCGAAGTCGAGAAAAAACCCATCGTTCCGATGCGACAGCAGATTCTCGAGGCACAGGAGGAAATGGCCCGGATAGCATTGATGGTCACCCAAGAGGATCCGGAAGAGCACGTGGGGGCCTTCAAGGCTTTAGCGCAATTTGGGCAGCATCACAACACGACGATCAAAAAGCTGGCTCTGAAGGTCCAACTTTCGGTTTACAAAGATGTCATTCCAGGCTACAGGATACGACCGTTGTCAGAGGTGGACATGGAGACCAAGGTGTCCAAGGAGGTGCGGAAGCTAAGAGCCTATGAGCAGGCTCTTGTCGGCGGATACCAAGGGTACGTTCGTGAGTTGGGGAAGCTGGCACAGTCTGGGAGATCCGGGAATTCGAGGGACGGAGGGGCGAGCTTAGGAAGTGTCGCGGTGTCCTGTGTCTGTTCTCTGCTAACTGAGGTGCCGCACTTCAATTTCCGTGGAGATTTGTTGAAAATTCTGGCGAAGAAGCTCAGCGTGAGGATCAAGGACGAGGACTTTGTCAAATGTCGAGAAACAATCGAGACTGTATTCCGGGATGACGAAGATGGCACTCCGTCTCTGGACGCCGTGGCCATTTTGACGAGGATGATGAAGGAGCGGTCGTACCGTGTGGACGAGAGCGTCTTGAATACGTTTTTGCATCTGCGGCTGCTGACCGAATTCTCATGGAGAGCATCGACAAACCATATCGACAAACCCGAGAACAAATTCGAGAGAAAAATCAAGGAGAAGAGGGTGTTCCGGACCAAGAAGGAGAGGAAGATGATGAAGGAGCGGAAGGCGGTTGAGAAGGAGATGGAACAGGCTGATGCTACTGTGAGCCATGAGGACCGGGACCGAATGCAGTCCGAGACCTTGAAGCTGGTATTCGTCACGTACTTGCGGATTCTGAAAATGCGATCCGCCCACCTCATGGGTGCTGTATTGGAAGGGTTGGCTCGCTACGCACATCTCATCAACCAGGACCTGTTCGGGGACCTTCTCGAGGCTTTGAAGGATCTCATCGGCCATGCCGAGACAGGTGACGATGTTGATGAGGACCCTGAGGACATAGAAACATCGAGGAATCTTACCCGCGAAGCACTCCTCTGCATCATCACAGCATTCGCTCTGCTCGAGGGTCAAGACGCCGCCAAAGCCCAAGCAAGCCTCAGTCTTGATCTTACTTTCTTTATCACCCACCTCTACCGAACCCTGCACGCCCTCTCCCTGAACCCCGACATCGAACTGAGCGCCAAGTCCCTGCATCTTCCAGATCCTAACATGCCGACATGGTCTCACGAAAACAAAGTCAACATCCAAACCACGACTGTTCTCCTCCTCCGCTCTCTCTCGTCGATCCTCACCCCCAACCTGGCTGCTCGTGCCGTTCCACCTCTCCGCATCGCCGCCTTCACGAAGCAACTTGCTACAACATCGCTCCATCTACCGGAGAAGTCATGCACTGCGATGGTCACGTTCCTTGGCAAAGTCACCAAAATTCAGGAGAAGAAGGTCGCTTCGTTGTGGAATACGGAAGAGCGACGTGGAGATGGCGTCTTCGACGCGTTGACTGGAGAGGTTGAAGGCAGCAACCCCTTTGCTGCCACCATTTGGGAAGGAGAGCTGCTGAGGAAACATTTCTCGCCCAACGTCAGAGATGGTGTGAAGGCAATGGAAAAGAACATCTTAGGTTTAAGATAGGAATCAATAGATCCCGGCATACTATCCTGTTCTTCTATTCTGTTTCGCTATGCTGCAGTCTTTTCTTTCTCTTCGTCATCGTGCTTGCTGCATGATACACACTCCGATACTCCGCTTTTCGGCGTAATACTTTGGACTTTAGTTTAAGGTTTAAGGCGTGTGTATATACTACGTAGTAGTACCGGTACCATTTCCACCTCCTCTTCATATTCAGAACCTAGTGTAAGCGGCACACTTAGGGGCCATTTGGTCCAACTAAACTGGCTTAAAACTTGGGTCTGTACAAACTCTAGTTTGTATAGTACGGTTTCTAGAACTGATAATTTGGAACGACGTTTGATTATGAATTGCTTTAGAAGGGGCTATTGCTAAGAATGAAATGCTGGAAAAACCGTTGCTTGCATCGCTCTTAAGAAGACTATTACTAAGAATGAATGCAAGACCTACGGCAGAAACTCTTTGCAAAGACGAATGGTTAAATCAAAAAAACCGTTGGGATTCGTTCAGGGCTGAGCTGATTTCTGATAATATGTAAAATATCTACTGTTGCTAAAGCTTAAACGCGGCAATAAAAAGGGTAAGGAGAAAGCTAACATCTCGCGGCTCATTAAGCGAGCCCCTAAATCCAAAAACAAAACAAATATACTTTCGCAGGAAAAGCGACCGGCCAACTTGCGACTGGAGTGAGTGGATCCCATCACCATGTCTTGAGGACTTTCAAAGCCGATCATCACGTGGATGATCAGATCAACTCTTCTTTTGTATGTGAAGGATAATGATAACCGCGCTTGCCGGAGGCTAAGTCGGATTTTAAGAGTTCCTGTTATCGTATATGCTTTCCCTTACGCAGTACCTACTGCCTCCTGGATAGCTACCAGGGCGTCATCACGTGTGTAGGCATTCATCGTCCGTCCCCACCAGTCCAGGCCCTGAGGAATGCACGATAGACTTTCCGAACTCAATCACTAGCTTAAGATGATGCTTGTCACTTAAGATCCATGACTTTGCTCAATTGCTTTGATAGGTGAGTTCTTGGATCATCAGAGATCTGACGGACCAAGACCCTTTATCGACTTGCTTCAAAAGAAAAAAAAAAAACAATGCCTCCTCCAATCTACAAATCAATGTCCCTCCTCCTCCACAACCGCAAATCCAACTCGGCCTTTCGCGCCCTCACCACCGCCCCCCCAGACGCCATCGACTTCTCCTCCAACGACTTCCTTTCGCTCTCCAGCTCCCCGCTCTTCAAAGCCGCCTACCTGGAAGAGCTCACCACGTCCCCCCTCTTCCACCTCGGCAGCGGGGGTTCACGTCTCCTCGACGGCAACTCCGCCTACGCCGAAGGCATCGAGGCCGACATCGCACGTTTCCATCACGCGGAGGCGGCGCTGCTGTTCAATTCCGGCTTCGATGCCAACGCGGGCTTCTTCGCGTGCGTGCCGCAGCGCGGCGACGTGGTTCTGTTTGACGAGTTTGTGCACGCGAGTGTGCACGAGGGCATGCGATTGTCGCGCGCGGGCGCGCGCAAGTCCTTCGCTCACAATGACGTGAGCGACCTGAGGCTGAAGATTGAGGAGGTGCGGCGAGGTGATGAGAGAGTAAGGCGTGGGGAAGGGAATGTGTTTGTGGCCGTGGAGAGTCTGTACTCGATGGATGGAGACCTGGCGCCGCTGGAGGAGATCCTGGGTCTGGTGGAGGAGATGCTGCCGAATGGGAATGGGCTGGTCGTCGTGGACGAGGCCCATTCGAACGGGGTCTATGGGTCGCAGGGGAGGGGAATCGTGTGCAGCCTAGGACTTGAGAGCAGGTTTTTCGCCAGGTTGCATACCTTTGGCAAGGGATTAGCTTGCAATGGAGGTGATGTCGCCCATTTTTATTTTTCTTTTCTAAGTCGTGGATCTACATCTAACTTCACTAGCTGCGATTCTTTGCTCGCCTTTAACTAGAGAGTACCTGATCAACTATGCGCGGCCGTTAATCTACAGCACCTCGATGTCTTTCCCTGGTCTGGCTGCCATAAAAGTCATGTATTCTCTTATGAAACAAGGAGTCACAGAACCGGTACGCTTTCAAGCCGGCCAGAATCCTCGCGTCACTGACGGTTTCGCAGCTTATTGTCCACCTAAATGACCTCGTTGGGCACTTTTTCCATCAGTTGTCTATTCTCCAGCCCCGGAGTGGACGCGGAATTGCGCTGCTGGAGCTCCCCAAAGAAGTCCCCCGATCACCAATCTTTGCGCTGTTGAGTCCGGAACCCCGGAGTTTAGCGAAGTACTGTCAAGATGCTGGCTTCGTTGTCCGGCCCATCTTTCCTCCCACTGTCCCTGAGGGTACGCAGAGGGTTCGCGTGTGTTTGCACGCTGGCAACACCTACGAGGACGTGAACAGGCTCGTTGCGAGAATTGGAAGCTGGCTGGAAATGAAAAGGGAGGCTGAATCAAGTAAAGCCACATTGATCAAGGCTGTGCTATGAAGGAGCTAGAATTCAACTTGGATACTGGCGGGTGAGAGCATCAATCGGTGTTGAATTACCCGAAGCTCAAAATGATAAGTTGGGTACTTATTGCGATTTGAAAGTCATTTCTAATGTCCCCCCATCTGCGGTGAACGGAAAAGGAGAGCCTCGCTTACGACGTTTACGTTAACGGCCCGTGAGCGACGGCGTCAAAACCAAAGACTCAAGACACTGAAGAGTTGGACGAGGTGCGAAAACGCAAATGGTAATCATCTATCAAAAACATCATGCCGCTGCAATAACAGGCCTCTCTTCCTGCATCTCCAGCGGTGCAGAAGTTGAAACCAGCTCTCTCAGCGCCTCCACCTCAAAGCTCTCCATCGGTCTCAAACCCCACTTGTCGAAGATTATCCGATCCTCATCCCACCCATTACAAGCCGTCGTAAGCATCTTCTCCCCGGTGAAGACAGCATTGGCACCCGCCATGAAGCAGAGAATCTGCTGTTCTTCCGACAGCGTGGTGCGTCCCGCGGCGAGACGGATGATGGTCCTCGGCATGACCATGCGGGCCGTCGCAATCGTCCTCAGAGTTGCATCGAAGGGAGATGGCTCATTGTCTCCGAGGGGTGTCCCTTTTATGGGAACCAGAGTGTTGACGGGAAAGCTTTCGGGATGAGAAGGAAGTGTTGCCACCGTGTGGATCAGCCCGACGTGGTCGCTTGGCTTCTCCCCCAGCCCCAAAATTCCTCCCGTGCAGACATTGAGCCCTGCATCTCGCACGTTCTGAATGGTCTGGAGCCGCTCGTCATAAGTCCGAGTCGAGATGACGGAAGGGTAGAAATCCCTTGAGGTGTCGACGTTGTGGTTGTATGCTGTCAAACCCGCTTCCTTTAACTCCTTGGCCTGTTCAAGATCAATCATGCCCAGCGTAACGCAGACTTCCATACCCATTCCTCGGATCCCATTGACCATCGCTTTGATATTTTTCAAGCCGCTCTTGCGCCCTCGCATGTCTCTCCAGGCGGCTCCCATGCAGAATCGAGTGCTTCCGTTGTCCTTGGCAATCCGAGCTGCGTCGAGGACCGATTCGACATTTACCATCTTGGATGCCTTGAGGCCGGTTGAGTATCGAGAAGACTGTGCACACTGCGTACGAGTTAACTCGGCATCTGGAGTAGTTCTTCGAGAACCAAAACTTACGTATGAGCAATCCTCGGTACAGCCCCCCGTTTTGATGTTCATGAGGGTACACATCTGAATCGCTGCGGGGTTATGAAACTTTCTGTGAATCGTTCCCTGAGATTCGAACATTAGCTAGGAGACATGACTTCTGAAGCATATGTATGTATCTGTAACTTACAGCTGCAAACGCCAGATTCATCAACGGAGTATCATACACCTCCTTGATTTCCTCCTTCGTCCAGTCATTGCGAGGAGCGGTCGCTGCCAGGGCCTTATCAAAAGTCGATGAGGGATTCAGGACTTGCGCAGTCACTGCTGAGACCGTTCCATACCTCCGGACCAGAGATGTTGACTTGCCTTCCCCGAGCAGAGCTCTACAGTTGGTGACGAGGAACCGAGATGCTGGAGTTCCACGCATTGTTTTTTTTTTTTTTTTTNTTTTTNTTTTTNTTTTCTTT